GCGTTCCAGCTTCCCGCTTAGGAATAATAGTAGAAATCGTAAAGTCTGTGAACACCCGCACACACGCGCTCCGAAGCCAGGACCAGACACGGAATCAAACCAAGAAGAAAACTCCCACAGGCCTCCTTCCAGCCCAGTCACTTCAGTGATGATGGTGACAATGACAGTAGTAACTCTGGGCAGCAGGAAGTCTAGTCAAACGAATAGAAATCGCAGTCGAGCAGAGCTTTGCCTCTGCCTGCCACGGAATGGCCGACAGTGCACAGTCGTAATGACCCAGTGGCAGGCAGCAGGTAAATGGTATTGCTGAGCCCCAAGCTGTCCTTCTCGAGCCAATCGTATTTCTAGGCTTTGTCACGCAGCCTAACTGCGCCCTGGACCACGCCAGCACGGTACTTCCTGGTTGCTGGATGTGGACAGGGTCTCCCGCAGCAGTGCAGGCCGCCTGGAGCTCCCTGTGCAGCCCTGGCTGGTCGCGAACTCGCGGCGACCGTCCTGCCTCAGCCTCCCGGTGCTGGGGTGGCAGAGCTGTGCCCCTGCGCCTGGCCCCGAGACCTCTTGCAGCCCAGTGCTGACGACACTGGAAGTGACGGTTACTGAACCTGACGCGTCCCGGCCACGCCTGAGACTCAATCCCACCCGGCGCAACAGCAATTATAGTAGACTGTGAAATCGGCGCAGTTCTAGGGCCTACAGATAAATAGCAGCAACAGTGATGGATAATAACTGGGTGCGCTGGGGCACGCCTGTGACCCCAGCACTCGCGAGGGAGGCTGAGGCAGGAGGGTCGCTGGGCGTTCGAGACCACCCTGCGTGGCACAGGGAGCTCAAGGCGGCCTGCGGTGCTGAGCGAGGCCCCGTCGCAACAGATAATAATAATAGAAGGTAAAACCTACGTCCGGCTCCGAAGCTGCCCTCCGACCGCCACCAGCACCCACATGAGTAGTAATTGCACGTAGAATCGCTCCGGGCCGCCCGCCTGTGACTAGACCCCCCAGGCTGGCCACAATCCGCGGGAGCGCTTCTCCCGGACGCGGCAGCTTCGCAGAGATCTTCTTGGCGGCGAGCTGCGGCTCGGCCCCGCGGCTCCCTGGTGACACTGCGCCGCGCCCCCACCCTGGCCAGGCCTCTGACCGCGTCTGTCTCCCTGCTTCCCGGCAGGTGCCCGCGCCTGAGCGATGGAGGCGCCCCGCGCGCCCGGCAGCCCCCAGCCGGACCTGAAGCTGGTGGCGCACCCGCGGGCCAAGAGCAAGGTGTGGCGGTACTTCGGCTTCGACACGGACGCGGAGGGCTGCATACTGCACTGGAAGAAGATCTACTGCCGCGTGTGCCGGGCACAGATCGCCTACTCGGGCAACACCTCCAACCTGTCCTACCACCTGGAGAAGAACCACCCCGAGGAGTTCTGCGAGTTCGTCAAGAGCAACACGGAGCAGATGCGCGAGGCCTTCGCCAGCGCCTTCTCCAAGCTCAAGCCCGACGCCTCAGCCTCGGCCTGCGGTACACCGTGCTCACAGGATGCCACGGGGGCGGGCGCCACGGGGATGGGGACCACAGGGGTAGTGGCCCCGAAGCTGGTGGCCACGAAACCGGGGCCTGGCATGGACAGCAGGAGGCAACAGGAGCTCACGGCTGCCGTGCTGGGGCTACTGTGTGAGGGGCTGTACCCCACATCACTCGTGGACGAACCCACGTTCCGCACACTGCTGCGGGCGGCTGAGCCCAGGTACGAGCTGCCCGGCCGTGCCTTCTTCTCGGGCAGGGCCATCCCGGAGCGCTACGCGGCTGTGCGCCACGCGGTCCTGCGGGAGCTGGCTGAGGCCGCCTGGTGCGGCGTGTGCATGGACGTGTGGCCGAGCCGCAGCCAGAACCGCAGCTATGTGACACTGTCCGTGCGCTTCCTCACACTGGGGCCGCCACACGGCCTGGCTGCCACGTCCCGCTGCCTGAAGACCTTCGAGGTGCCCGAGGACAACGCGGCCGAGGGCATTGCGCGGCTGCTCTACGAGGCCTTCATGGAGTGGGGCATCGGCGCCAAGGTGGCGGGCGCGACCACGGACGCGGGCAGGGATGTGGCCAAGGCGTGCTCGCTGCTCGACGTGGCCGTGCACGTGCCGTGCCTGGCCCGCACCTTCGAGGCCGCCGTGCAGCGCGCCCTGCGGCTGCCCAAGCTGGCGGGGCTGCTGGCGCGCTGCGGCCGGCTGGTGCAGTACTTTCAGCAGTCCCCCGTGGCCAGGGCGCTGCTGGTGGCCAAGCAGAAGCAGCAGGGCGCGGCCCCCCGCATGCTGCGCAGCGACCGGGCGCCCCGCTGGGGCGGCACCCTGGCTATGCTGCGGCGGCTGCAGGAGCAGCAGTTCGCCGTGGCCGGCGCGCTGGTGGAGGACAGCAACAACCACCACCTGCTGCTGGAGCCCGCCGACTGGGCCGCGGTCGAGGCGCTGGTGGAGCTGCTGCGGCCGCTGCAGCAGGTGGCCGAGATGCTGCGCGCCTGCCGCTACCCGACCGTCAGCATGCTGAAGCCGCTGCTGCACATGCTGCTGAGCACCGCGCTGGCGCCCAAGGACTCGGACACCGAGGCCATCGGCACGGCCAAGGAGCTCATGGCCAAGGAGCTGGCCGCCACCTACCGCGAGGCGCCCGAGCTCGACATGTTCCTCAACGTGGCCACCTTCCTGGACCCGCGCTACAAGCGGATGCCCTTCCTGTCGGCCTTCGAGCGGCAGCAGGTGGAGAACCGCGTGGTGGAGGAGGCCAAGGCCCTGCTGGACAAGCTCCGGGCCGAGGCCTTCGTGCAGCCCGAGGACGGGGGCTTCGCGGCCGAGTCTGACGAGCCGGCAGCCAAGAAGCCCACCCTGGCCACAGCTGCCACGGCCACAGTGTCCACGGCAGCCGCAGCCACGCCCGGCAGCGCTGTCCACGACATGCTGGCTGAGATCTTCTGCCAGCCGGGCGGCGAGGATGAGCAGGACGAGCGTCACGCGCAGGTGGTGGAGGAGCTGAGCAGCTTCAAGTCGCAGAAGGTGCTGGCGCTCAGCGAGGACCCGCTGCGCTGGTGGGCCGAGCGCCTGGCCCTCTTCCCCGTGCTGCCCCGGGTGCTGCAGAAGTACTGGTGCGTGGCCGCCACGCGCGCCCCTCCCGAGCGCCTCTTCGGGTCGGCAGCCAATGTGGTGGCCGCCAAGAGGAACCGGCTGGCACCGGCCCACGTGGACGCGCAGGTCTTCCTGTACGAGAACGCACAGGCCGGCCTGGGCCTCGGGTGCGGGGCAGAGGTGGAGCCGGAGGAGGAGGACGAGGGCGAGTGGGGCTTGGAGCAGGAGCCGCCGTGTGTCCCGGCCGAGGGCCTGGCTGGTGGCTTCCTGTAGGAGAGGCCGAGGGACAGCCCTCGGGCGCGTGGCTTCAGGTGCAGGGCCGG